AATATGATTTCTTATAAACTTTGGATTACATTGTTTTTGCAACATGCTATTTGTTTTTTTAAGCAATATGTCATTATTATTTTATCCATAATGATAAATTGTCATTTGGAGCATTAAAAAAATCCTAAACATTAAAATTTTTGTTTTTGTGTTGTGAAGGTAAAAAATAAAAAGGAAGTGATCACCATAAGTCCAGCAACCACCTGACACCATACCACGTTATCACAATATCATTGACTATATCCCTTACGCTGTACAATCCCTGTGACTTGTTTTATACCTGGAGATTTGAACCTCTTATTCACCTTTGCCTTTTCCCCGCTTTTTAATTTTTCAATTACAGTTGACATTCAATATTATTTTATGTTAATTTCAGGTGTACAGCACAGTGGTTAGACATTCGTATAATTTAAGAAATGATCTCCCTGACTAGCCTAGTACCCACCTGGCACTATACATAATTATAACCATATTATTGACGATATTCCCTGTGCTTTACTTTTCATCCCTATGGCTATTTTGTTTTTAAACACTTTTTTTTTTTAATTGAGGAATTGGGGGAGGAGAACAGTGTTGGGGAATCGGGGAAGGGGAACCAGACAAGCTGCTGTCCTTTTTTTTGTTCTTCAGTCTAGTTGTGGAGGACGTTGCTTCACTGGCCCGTGTTGGTATTGTGATCATTGCACTCTTCCCGGGTGAAGCAGATTGATCACTGGCCACTGGTCGACCGCTCACGATGGCTCTTCGCAGCTCTTGCTGGCTGCCGGCCGCTCATGTCAGCTGCCAGCCACTCATGGTAGCTTACGGCAGCCCACTGCAGCTTCACTGCAGCCTGCGCCATCGCAGGCGACTCACAGCAGCCCAGCTCCAGGTCAAGCTGTTGTTCACCATCTTAGCTGTAGAGCCAGTACACTGTAGCTTAGGGCCAGTGTCACTGGCCCACATGTGGGATCCAAACTGGGGCTGTGCTGTTCAGAGCTGGCATCCCAAGCCAACTCTTAACTAATGCGCCACTTGGCCGGCCCTCTATGGCTATTTTGTAACTACCAATTTATACTTCTTACTCCCTTCATCTTTTACGCCTTGCCCCCAGCCCCCTCCCATCTATCACCGCAATAAATCTAGTATCCATCTGACACCATACATAGTTATAATATTATTGACTATATTACTTATGCTATATCTTACATCCCCATGATTACTGTGTGACAACCAATTTGTACTTCTTTTTTTTTTTTAATTGGAAATCTTTTATTTTATTTTGATCTGAGATGAGTCTCTTGTAAACAGCATATGCATGGGTCCTATTTTCTTATCCACTCAGCCACTCTACATCTTTTGATTGGAGCATTTAATCCATTCACATTTAAAGTGATTATTGATAGGTGCATATTTATTGCCATT